ACTCCAGACTGAGTCCTCTAGCCTGGGAGTGGCCCCTTCGCGAGGTCCTGTTCGACTGTCCCACACAGGGTGCCAGCGCACTGCGGAGATGCAGGTGGTGGGGTTCAGGACAGTCACGTCGAACCCGCTCAGAAGTTACCTGAGAGCAGAATCACATCAAGGTTTGTGCAGGAGGACATCAGGTTGTAGATTACACAGGCACAATCACTAACTCACAGGCATTATCTCGTGCAGGAAAGACAAGGAACGTAGTGACTCAGGCGGGAGATGTGGGGGTGGCGTGTGCTCTGCCCTGTTTTGCCTTCAAAGCATCTTTGGAGCACTGCGCGCAGGGGCTCTGGGAAGCGGTGCTGGCAAGCAGAAACGAGCAAAGAGGGCTCCTTAGGTTTGACACTTTGTCTCACAACACACAAATGGTCAGCGTTGTGTTCCTGTTGTCTACAGGATTTAGCATAGTCACGAGCTGTGCGGTGTGTACTAGAACAACAGGCTCCACCACCCAGCCTAGGTGTGTGGCAGGCTAAACCATCTAGGTTTGTGTCAGTCACTCCGTGATGTTGGAACAATGACGGGATCACCGAATGAGGCATTTCTCAGAAGGGACCACCGTCGCTAAGCGACACAGGACTCTAGGTAGGTGCTCCGATGTTGGGTGCATATAGATAGGGGCATACGCCACATTTACACTCATCTACAAAGCATGTATCTCTGCACACACACGAACACAATGGTTATCTGATGTTTATGTAAATAGATGTCAGACACACCTCTCTGCGTCCTACCTGACATCTATACGTGGCTGTGTTGTCTTCTTCCCTTCTCCACCAGCAATGGATGGTTATTCATCACTCTTAAAACGTCTATCACTCCAGTGAGTGGAAACGGATATTGTGCTGTCTTAGTTGACCTCTCGCCTGCTTCTTGTGGTCTGAGCACCTCTAGCTAACTTCCCAGCCACTTGGATTGGTTCTCCTGTAAACTGTGTTTCTTAAGTGTCCTGTGTCCATTTTTCCCTAACTTGCTGCTTTGTTTATGCCACGTAGGGAAAGTTCTATGCATCTGGTAAACATAAGCGCTTCTGCCCCTTGCTCAGGGCCTGTGCTCTCAACACTCTGTCCAAAGCTGCTACTTGTCTCCCGTTTAGTTCACCATCTCTGGAGGAACAGAAGGAAGCTCGTGACACTAGAATGAGGTCTGGTACGTTTGCCTCTGGAATTCCGAGTCACCTGGGACAAGTCACTCTGTCCAATGAGAAGACAAGCATTTCTACAAGGTATAGGAACTTAGGACAGACAGGGGAAGGCCAAGTACAAGGACACAGGGTTCCTGTGACGCACAGACTTGCTAATAATTATTAACAGCGAATACTCAGGCAGCGCTTGGGCTACCATGCAGGGTGCTGCCGGAGCATTTCCCATAGGAGCTCGCCAACCCCCACCCAGTGTCATTGTGACCCCACTTCACAAGCTCAGGCACAGGGAAATTCCAGACCACCCAGAGGCCGTTGGGCTTAGGTCGCTCCCCAGGGCCCCTGTTAAGCAGTCTCTCTCACACACACACTTTGCTGGCCAGGCAGTGCATCCCAGATGTGTTCAGAGGCAGCTGGGCGTAGGTCGCTCCCCAGGGCCCCTGTTAAGCAGTCTCTCACACACTTTGCTGACCAGGCAGTGCATCCCAGATGTGTTCAGGCGCCTGCCTCTTGGTGATGTGGCACTGCCCACATCGGGCCACGTCTGCTCACCCTCCAATTCTGAGGTGCTACTGTCCAGAAATTTGTGCTCCCCCAAATTCACGTTGAATCCTCACCCCCCACCCCACCGGTGATGGTGTTAGGAGGTAGGACCTCTGGAGGGTGATTAGGTCATGGTGGTGGAGCCTTCATGAGTGGAATCAGCATCCGTACAGGAGAGATCTAAGAGACCCCACGCCTCTTCCACAGTGAGGCACCACCTATGAGCCACGCAGGCTCAGCGCTCTCTGGGCGGCTTTCTCTCCTCTCCAAAGGAGCCCAGGATTCGGTCATTTTCGAAGTCCCTCTGTTGTTGCTGATTTACATGTAACAAACGCCTGCTGAGCACCTTGACAAAGGGACCAGGCATCCCTTGAGCACAGTCACCCAGCCAGCTGAGCAACCTTCCCTGGATTCACTGCCCCCAAGTGACAGCCAGCTCTGATGGCAGGCCACTCACGCCTCCTCAAAAATCACCCAGGAAGCATTAAAAACCATTCAAGACATACTTGAGAGTAGTATTTTGGGACTAATTGGAGGTAATGATTATTCACACAAGACCTGCACTGTGTGGCCAAGACAACACCTCAAAGACGTACTGAGAGCCCGGATGCTGATCCAGGGCTGGATGCAGTAAAACCCACGGCTTCCGGAAGGTGGGCCAATCACAGCCCTTCCTCAAACCTTTCCCTTGGGACACAGTCCCCTTCGCCACCCCGGGAGGCATGTTACCGGAGACGTAATAAGGAAACTGCTGGAACCACGGTGGAGAAAAATTGCTGTGGAGAAAGATTTTCTAGGCCCATGAAGCCAGTGGGCAGGCAGAAACAGGAAGTGGTTGAGTCCAGGGATCTTTAAGCCCTGGGGCCAGCTGTCCTTCTGTGAGCCTTCCAGCAAATTCCTCTCTTGTATGGATTTTAATGGACAGTGCTTCCTTCTTTTCTCACGGAAGAGTCTTCTCCAAGACCCCAGAAGACGCCCTCGCCCTCGGCTGATTCTGCTCCAAGGAGCAGGCAGGCATTCCCCGCAGAGCTGTGCTGCCTTGCTGAAGTGCGGTATCTGGCTGGCAGTTGAGCCTGTGGTCCCCCAGCAGCTTTCTCAGTGCGGCAGAGATCAGTATAGAGGTCTCTGTGATTAAGGCGATCAGGTGTAAAAACAGAAAACACACGTCTTTGTCAGTGTAGGTGACGACACGTCACTGACAATGGCTGGAGTTTTGCACGGGAGTGGGCATGGCTGGGCCAGTCAGCTGCAGTCCGATCACCCGGGTGATCACCCTTCCTGACAGCCTCACAGTGACAGCCGAGTCACGGGGAGATGAGGAAGAAAAACACGTGGCAATGCTCGTGGCCTCATGGTACTGAGGAAGCTGCAAGGATTCTGTGAAGACAAAGGGAGGCCTCCTAGAGCCCACACGGGTCTAAACACGAGCAGAAGACACTGACAGGCACACACGTGCAGACTGGTGTTCACAAAGCAGCTTGGATCAGACGAGTCTGAAATTCTACGGCCCACAGGAGCGCCTGGGGCTCACAGGCCTTGGTCTAGAAGGGGTGTGCCAATCTCCACTCTGCCTGAGTTCCTGTGCAGCAGCTGTCTTCTTCACCTGGGATCGTTCCTTCCTGCTGAAGGCCAGAGGCTGATATCCCCATTCACCAATGAGGAAACAGAGGCTCAAATAAACATTTTTAGTTTTGTTTAAAGACAGGGTTTCCCTGGCCCAGGCTGGAGTGCAGTGGTGCGATCACAGCTCGCTGAAGTGATCCTCCTGCCCCAGCCTCCCGAATAGCTAGGAATATGGGCACGTGCCACCATGCTCAGCTAATTTTTTTATTTTTTTATAGAAAGGGGGGTCTTATTCTATTGCCCAGGCTGGTCTCAAACTCTTGGCCTCAAGTGATCCTCCCACCTCAACCTCCCAAAGAGCCTGGATTACCGGAGTGAGCCACTGTGCCCAGCCCTCCAAAGAAAGGAACTGATTCAGCAGGAGCCTACAACTCGTTGGCAGTGGTGTTTCCCACTGGCCAGCCTGAGCTGTAGCCACAGCCCTTATCACTGTGTATTGTAGGCCCTGTGGGACTGTGATAAACCTCAACTAAGGGGATCTGCAGGGTAACCACCTGATACGACAGAATTCACCAAAATACCTAGTTGTTCCCCACAGAGCCTTCTATGCCTGCTTTGAGGAATCCACTTAGGAAACTGTGAACACGACTCTCATGAATGAACCACAAGAACACAGCACTGAGAAGCCCCGCCCTCTCAAAGTGCAGATGGTATAATGCAGCCTGGCCGCTGGAAACCCTGCTCCCGGCCTGCAGATAAGCCACGTGGATCTCAGACACAAAGCGGCAGCCTCAATGTGCAGCCCAGTGCAGAGCTTCCAACTGAGGGTGTTCTGACACCGCAGTCCACACTCCTGCCTTCCCACGCGCCCTGTGCTCTGGCTGCCCTCGCTGCAGCTCGGGAACCACGGAGGACTGCTAACTTGTCCCAGGCAGTCCCCAGCTGCTGAGCCCCAACAAAGGATAGGAGCTCCATCAGGATGACAGGGTGGAAATCTACTCACCACTCACGAGAAAATGAGGCAGGGCTGACATTCAGTTCTGCTTAAAATGTCACCTGGCCTCCAGTACAAATGTCTCTTCCGTAAACATGACAAGGTGACACCCTTCAGCGGGTTCTCAGTAGCGGGGGCAGCAGGTCCCTTGTCCACTGAGGGGCTTTAACTGAAAATGGGAACTGCTGCAGTCCTGGGACTGGGCATCCCCTGGTCTGAGGAACACTCTTCACTGCGAGATGGATATGAAGCAGCAACTTCACTGTTCTACAACCATTATCAATCACCGAGCTGGGCCTGCAGGAAACAAAACCCCTCCCCCGACACAGGTGTTACACTCTCCTTCGAAACGGACCAACGTGCATTCCTCGCGTAGAAGGCGCCTCCCGTCATCCTTAAGCCTCGAGTTTGTGGGGCAGCGGCCCTGACGTGGTGGCCGGAGGACAGCATAGGGCCCGCTGTGCTGACAGACACACACGGTGCGAACCCAGCGGAGCGGTGGCCCCGGGGCAAGGTCCTCCCAGTGCCATCAGCAGGCCCAGCTGTGCTCGGCCCGCACTGCCTCCTGGTCTAGCACATACAGCACCATAACACCCGGTATTTGCTAACAGACAAACATGGTTCTCTCAGCTGACACATGCGTGACACACACACAGACTTTTAGGGACTGCAACACTCACTCAAAAGTGCAAGAAGAGATCACTCTGCACGTGACGTTGCTTTCTTTTAATTGGAGTGAGGACACAACCTGGTCATGTTCAGAGACGAACAGCCTCATCTAGGTGGTGAAGAACATTTTTATCTTTCTTGGTTAGCCAGGTCCTAAATTCAAGGGATTTCCAAGTGTTCTTTAAAACCACCTGAAACTGTCCTGCGCAGGCTCACACTGCGACTCTGTACCAAGGGCCTGGCCCCGCCTGCAGCCAGAGGTCATCTCACTGGATGTCATCATCATCGAAAAGATCTTCAAAATCTAGAGAAATAAGCAAAACCACGTATTTACACATACAAGGGTAAGAGCTGAAGAAATCACTTCAAAATGAATTATACGGTCGTCCAAAATACAGACATAATCGTCAATGATCTAATGAAATAAAAGACTTTTCCCGTAACAGACTTTCAGTCTCAGCCAACCAGGACTCAAACACACAGTCCAAGGGGAGAGCGCTGGCCAGAGAGCTTTCTTGCTTTCATTTAAAAGACAATCCTAAGGAAATGCTTGCAGGGCTGTTCTGGGTCCCACGGACACCACTGCACAGCCATAACTCAGCACTCAGGACACATCAGTGCCATGTCTGCACCCATGAGTGCACAGCGCCCAAGATGCTGCCCTCGCTGCCAGGGCCAGGCAGAGACGAAGCTGGGAGGCCCGTGCTGGGTCCTTGAGAGCAGAGGGAAACCGGCCGGCTGCCGCTGTGAGAATGAGAAAGCTGGACTGAGCTGCAGAAAGGTGACGCCTCCAGTAAGGCAGTGTGAATGACACTCAAGCCTGAGAAACACCCGTTAAGGCCCGTTCCCGCTGGAAAAAACGCAGCAAACGTCTAGTGCACTGCTTTGGGTGATCAAAATCAGGCCCCCCAGAAAAGATTTTGTCCTTCTGTTTAGTTTTCTACATTGCCTACTACAGGCAATCATTACTTTCACAACAGGAGAAGAAAGTAAAACTAAGAGCCCACCCACACGTACTGTGCACTGAAAGTGTGCAGGATGAATTATGAACTAGAAAGAGGAGGTTCCACTCCTGGAGGGTGAGACAGAGTGAAGAGCCAGGAGCCTGCTGGCACCACGGCATCCAGCCTTCCTAGGGAGGGTGGCGTCCCTGAGGCATCTCTGGCCACTCAGAGGGTCCCAGCTCTCCCCAGCCACACTGACGCACCCCCACATCCTCACTGCCTCCCAACTGCTGTTTGTGGTTCTGCCACTCAGAGCACTTTTGCGCAGTCCCAGGCCCAGCTGACTCCACACCTTCCAACCTCTGCTCTGCTGCCCGCTCTGGAGAAACCTCCCTCTGCTGTGCTCCCGGAAATAATACCGTCCACGCTTTGCCAGGGCTCTCGTCACAGTCCAGCCCCTGCCTGCTGACTTGTCTGAACCCACAATTTTGTAAGACACGGCGAGGGAAGCGAGTGAGTCTCGTTCATGGCTAGAACCCCGGTGCCCAGGGGATAACTGCCCAGCAAAACCCATCTGTTTGATGAGTAAAAAGGACTCAGCAGAAGCCTCATCCACAGCCTACAGGTCTCTCAAAGTAAATGGCTCCTTGAACACACGGGGTTGTCACAACCTGACGGGACAGTGAGTGCTTTGTGAACTCAGTGGGTGGGCAGGCAGGGGACACAGAGCTCTCCCACATTCCCTCCCTGACCAGCCGTGGCTCAAAGGTAGACAGATGCCCACAATGCTCAGGCTGCTGGGCGCTCACCTGACGGGTCAGGCCTGGGTGCCTCTCAGAGATGCTTTCCCGTCAGGATTCAGGGACTGACTCTGGAAGCCACGTGAACTCAAACACTAGAACACAGCAGTCGCCTCTCACCAATGGGCTGGCAGAGGATAAACGGGACTTTGAAGGAGATCATCAAAATGCAAGTGCATGGTGCCAGCATTAGCCACTGCCCAATCCTGCCCACATGAAGAAGCTTCAAAGTCGCCCTGGTGAGCTGGTGTTTTCGCAGAGCAGCTCTGGAGAGCACTCCGCAGTTTTGCACAATTTGTTCCCTCTGAAGGCAACACCCTTCTCCCATCTCACTCTGGCATAAAGAATTGAAAGAAATGCTATTCAGTCCTCCAGGCTCGTCTCAAATGTCACCTGCCCCAGTTCTGACTCCAGTTGGTAGCAGCAAGAATGCTGCCTCAGGGGCATGGCCAGGCACCCTGGGAAAGCCTGCACCCCAACTCAGCAGCTTGGCTGCTCCCCTCAGGCAATGGCTGGCTGACAGTCAGCCTGATAAAGCAGCAGGGACTCAGGATGGCAGGGGGTCTCCGGTAAGTTAGAAACCGATGTGGTAAGGTCACATCCTAGCTGTTAACTGGTAACAAGAGCTTTCTGTAGAGGCCAGCACCACGGGTTAGAACAGGATGGAAAATGTCACCTCGCTCTCTGGAGTGAGAAACTATCTTGTTTATTATTTGAACGCTTAGTAAAGGTTAATATGAACTAGAGGAACAAGGCCTGAAGAAATCAGAAGAGAATGAGAGAAACATCCCCTCTAGCAGGTCTGAAGATCTTAGAGAAAGTTTGCTTTTCATTGTTTATTTGCTTTACCAATGTTTTATTTGGTTTACCCATGTTTTTGGTAACTAGCACTGAAGCCCTTAAATCAAGAGGGAAACGCATCCTGCATCCTGATTTCAGAGCTGGGCAAGAGCTGGAGTGTGGCTGCCCCTCTGCAAAGGCAGCTGAGGGTACGAGAACCCAGGCAGGCAAACACAGGTGGGCTGGGAGAGGAAAGGAAACCGGCTACCCGGAGAGGAAAAAGACAGGGAGCCAGACTGGGTTCCTACGGCCGTGTCTGGGGCAAGGGGCCAGACCCAGCTATAGTCTGAGGTGTCTGCAGGCACGTGTAACACACAGGCCAGAGCTCAAACTCAACTACTGGGCTGCAAGCTGGGAACAATTTCATGCTACTTTTCTCCTGAAAAAGAAGGCTGCCTGCCAGGGGCCGCAGCCCACGTCATCGCTCCATAGAGACTGCACTGCATTCCGAGAGGAGCGCAGGGGCTCTACCCCCTTATGACCCAAATTATTCACGTCACCAAGTTGCTTCACTGCCTTAACCTACAGAAGAAATACTCAGATTAAATCTGGCATCCCATTCCAAGCATCCTTACCATTAAAAAAGTCTGCATGAACGGCCTTTTCATTGGCTGCCAAGTCCATCAAGAGCCCGGTGCTGCCTCCCGCCTGGGGAATGGAAAGGCAAGGTTATGTCAGCTGCGTTTTCCAAAAGAACAGGTGATAAGTGCATTGCAGTGTCCGCCACCCCCACAGAAAAGGAAGATGGGTGAGGGGAAGCAGGCTCAAGCTGGAGTCAACATTTTAGCTCCAGACAAAGGAATATGTATGGGCGGAGGAGGAGGGAGAAATTCAAAGGAATGATTTTTAAGGTCTCTCAAGGGCTTCTGTTCCTTGATTCCTCTCTGCCGTTAAAAATTAGAAACCTACCACTGCTCTAAGCACCACTACTTCTCTGTAACCCTCAAGGAGAGGTTTCCAATCCCCCCTGGACTTTGCCACAGAGGCCACAAACACGCAAAACTGAGCCCACCGACTCCGCTCAGGATCCCTTCCCGCTCTCTTCTGGGAATGAAACCACTTCCCCGAGGAAACTGACCTGCTCTGCCTCTGAGGTTCTGGTGCCGGCTGCCATCATGGACCGTCCACTGCCACTACTCCACGGCAGTGGAAAAACCATGTCACAACCCAAGCTGGGCAATCTGAAGCCCTCAGGATTTTGGATCCTGTTTAGAGTCACCTGGTGACAGTGGGAGCAGATTCCTCTGACAGCAGCACCCTGGACAGCTGGCCACAGGTCCTGCTGCTGCCCTGGCCCCAGCATTCACGAGGCCACTTGCTCAACCTTGCCCTCATCCCCACGAAGCTGCATGCCCTTGTTCCCTTTCACAGACACTCTCAGAAAAGCCAGAACACTCAGCCTCCTCCTCTGGCTTCTCAGCCTCCCTCCCTGTCCCCAACACCACAGTAAGCCTCCCACATTCTACCACTTAAACACTGGGCTGAGCTTGTCCCTACCACCATCTGCCTCATTCACACCCTCTTCGACTGTCCTGTTCTCCCTGCTGCCATTTTTCTACCCTCTCATCCCTAAATGCCGCCACCCTACAGAGCAAGTCAGAGCCTCTCACTCCCCACTGTAAAGCCCTCGAGTGGCTCCACATCGCCTAGGGCTGTGACTTTAAAACAGGACTGAGAGGCCTGGGTTTAGTGGAAGTGCTTCAGGAGTGGGGTGCACAGAGCCACCCTCTTACCATGATTCCAGATGGTTTCATGATCTGGCCCACTGTCTCCCCTCTCTCTGGCACGCACGCTCAACCATGTTAAACGATATGAGCCAGTGGGCATCCCCCCAATCCAGGACTCTGCTCCTGCTGGGCCTTCATCCCCGCCTACCTGGCAAAAACCAATGTGTCCCCCAGCATTTAGCCACAGAGTCGACTCCTCAGCTGCACCTTTGCTGAGCCCCCTCAAAGCCCTGAGGGCCCATCTGTTGGTGCGTCTTCAGCTTTCTATGACACCTGGTATTTGCAATCAGCCTCTCTGCCATGTTATTACCTCCACAGGCACAAGGGCTGCCTCTGACCACCTCTGTACCCCCTAAGCTTTGAGAAAGAGGACATGAGGCCCTGACATGCAGGAGCTGGCCTACCACTCTGAGCTAGGCTGTGGTGCTCTCTTGCTGACCATAAACCATCTCAGAACATCAGCTCACATCAGACAAGGTCACTCTGTGAACACAACAGAGACCAAAAAAATCCCAAGACGACTGTATAATCCTGTCTAATTAAAAAGAAGAACGAGGCCACTACACAAAGCACATAAAAGCCAGACATCCCCTTTTCCACTACAAGAATGACGGCTGCTCCAGTCTTCCCTCATTCCAGTTCAGATTAAGAAGCCCAGTCGGAAAATTACCCTCGTTTCCAAGGCACAGCAAAGCCCACTTTCTTTCCCCAAATCCCCGAACACTAGCTCAAATCCCACACGAGGTGAGTCCCCACCCGCGCTACGGAGACGCACCGCGGGCCCCCACCGGGTGCTGCCGCCATCGAAGAGCAGCAAACGCAACTCCTTTGTCCACGAGTGTGTTCCCGGGGGCCGTGGGGGCACCCAGCAGGCACTCAACCCTCAGGCTGCGCCTCCTGGTCCCCCGGGCTAGGGCACACACTTCTCGCCGCGGTCGGTGGCCGCCTTTCACCAGAAGCTCGGAGAAGCCGGGATTTGCTCTCCGCGGGGCAGGGAGCCTGGGAGCCGCGCCCATCGCCCACCGCCCGGCCTCCCCTCCCCGGGACCCGCGCACCAGGACGCCGCCCTTCCGCTTCCCCTTCCCTGCTCCCCACGCTCGGAGACTCCCGCCGGGCCCGTGCCACCTCGTCCAGGTCCACGTAAGGCCCGGCGCCCTCGGGGAACATCTCGTCCACCGCCGGCTTCATCTCGGGCCCGCGGCGCTCTAGGCCCACTTCCGGCCGCAGGGCCGCTTCCGGCGCGCGCCACATGGCAGCTCTAGACGCCGGAGGACCGCGCCTCTGTGGTGCCCGCCTGCCTGCCCGCGGTCAGCGGTCTCGCATCCGGGGCGCTCGGGGCCGCTCGTGCGTCCGCGGCCACCGGCGTCTGTCTTTGCGCTGGCGAGGGCGGGCGTCTGCAACGCCTCTGAGGGGCGGCCGGGCGGCCACGGAGAGAAAAGGCCGCCAGCAATGGGAGCAGTGCCTGCCGAGCACGCCTCCGACAAGGGGCCAGATCCAGAATAAAGAGGGAGCCTCAGACTCAGCCGCAGGGACGGCCGGGTTCACAGGAGCCCAGGGCCTGACCTTCAGACGTTTGTCTGGAGAAGACACACTCGCGGCCAGTGAGCAGATGAAAAGGTGCAAGCAAACCAGGGCCCCGCCGAGGGGCCGCTGCACCCCTGGGACGCCCAGAGTCAAAAAACAGCAAAACGGGTGGAAGGGTGGGGAGTGAGACGCGGCAGCCGGGGCGGGAGACAGGGAGGCAGGTCCCAGAAAATCAAACACGGACGCCCACGTGGCCCAGCACTCCCCTTCCGGGCACAAGCCCAGAGGACGGAAAGCGGAGGCTCCAAGGGACGTCTGTACCCCACGTTCACAGCAGCATTATTTATGATAAATGAAAAAGGGGAGCGTCCCCCACTGTCCCTGCCCATTGATGGATACGTGCATAAGCAAATGTGGTCCGTGCACACTGTGGAACATTACTCAGCCTTTAAAAGGAAGGGAATGCCGACACCTGCTGCCACGCGCATGAACGTTGAGGACGCTCTGCCGAGGGAGACGAGGCAGTCCTAATGCAAACACCGCGTGATTCCTCTCAGCCGAGGCCCCTAGAGGAGTCAAAGTCACAGAGACGGAGAGTAGAAGGGAGGTGGTCAGGGTCTGGGGAAGGGGAAATGGGGAGTTTGTGTTTAGTGGAGACAGAGTTTCAGTCTTGAAAGATGAAAAAGATCTGTAGAGGGCTGATGGTGATGGCTGCACAGTCCCGTGAATGTGCTTAATGCCACTTAAATGTGGTTAAGATGGAAACGAATGTGACAGAAAAGCGAGGGAAAGGAGAAGGAAAGGGGAAAGAGGAGGGAGAAGGTTGGAGGAAGGAAGGGAGAGAGGAAGAACAGGGGAGGGAAGGAGAGAAGCAAGAGGTCCTGGAACGAGACTTTGCCAAAGGTTCTTTGCTCAACCAGACTTCGGTGGCCTCCTAACCTCCTCCCAGGCCCATCTGTGCACGTCTTTGTCAGGTTCAGTTTTCGCAGAGAGCCGTGCTAAATTGGTTTAGCCAGAGCCCTCCACCCTGGATATTGGATGGGGTTCCTGGTCCCCAGCATCCCCAGGACGTCTGATCGCCCAGGCCTGTCTTCAGCGAGAGCCCTGCGGGGTCTGCGGAGCCAGCATCCCCTTCCCGCACTGTGTTCCTCCTAGTCATTTTCCACCCCCGACCCCACCTGCTCCTCAGCCGCAAACCCCCACTGCCTGTGCTGTTCAGAGCTGAGCCTGGTCTCCCTCCCCCACTGCAAGATCCCGTTGCAGTGGTCCCCACACCTGTCTCCAGGGTTCAGCACAACTTCTGAAACTTTCTAGTAAGTTTTCTTCAACAGACCTTAAAGGAGGTGGGTTTTGGGGTTAGGCTGCAGAGAAGGGGGAGCGGCATGGAGGAGGGTAGTTCCAGGGACAGGAATTGAACTGAAATGTGAGGGGTGAGGGTGTGGCCTGAAAAGGGTCCGCCTGGCCTGAGTGAACAGTGTGGGATGCAGGGAGAAGCAGGCAGTGGGCATCCCGTGAGCCTCATGCCATGCCAAAGTGCGTCACTCTGAAAGACCCAAGTGAAAGTCAGTCCGATGAAACAGGGGCTTGGCAGTGACCAAGAGGAGTGGCCCATTAAGTCAAGGTCTTTCCTAGCTAAGGGGTGGAGCCGTGGGTCTCCACGGTCTGCTTGTATACCCTACAGGGATGGGGAGCTCACCACCTGTGCAGAGGCCATCCCATTGCTGGAGGCCCACCCCTGAGATGCCATCATGCTGCCTGCCCAGCCTTCCGGTGCCCCAGGGTGCCCAGGTGAAGCCCCCTTCCTCCCAGCATCCTCAAAACCTAGAGCCGTCCCTGGAAGACAGAGCCTGCCCAGGCCCCGCTGTCCCTGACTGATGACAGATACAGACGGGGTTTCCCACTTCCATGTCCTGCTGCCTCCTGGCTCCTGCTCCCAGGGGAGTGTCGTGGTGTGGAGTCAGCCGAGCCCTGACTGTGGGTTTGCCTGTTGCCCAGCTTAGTGGCCCAGAGCGAGGGTGCCTGGACTGGAGTCTAGCTCCCCCCTAACCAGCTGTGTGACCTTAACAAATCAGGCAGTGGCCTCTTGTCTCTGCCTCAGTTTCCTCACCTGTAATCTGGGGGAACTGCAGCACCCCCAGGATCATTGTGGGAAATGGATGAGAGGGAGACACAGAAAGCCAGTCCTGAGTCCGCCCAGGATATAAGATCCCTTGTTGATGCCAGTGTGGATGGAAATGGTGCACATTTATGAAAGAGTGTATGAAAGTGCTCCCCAGGAATCAAAATAAAACCCGCTTCATTTGTGAAATAAAGTAAATGGGGCCTGAGCGCAGCCGTCCTTGAAAGACCACCCACAACGCTGATTGTACATCTTCAGTCCGGAGTTTATTGAGCATGAGACCAGGCCTGACTCCCCGCAGGGGCCAGGTTTTTGCTGGGACTCCATGCCTGCAGAGGCCTGACCTGGTGCAGCCTGGCGGGGCGGGCGGGCACCAGGCTGGACACCATTCAGTCCTCCTGATAGGGAACATGGAAGCCCAGGGTGCTCCCCAGGGGGAAGTGTGCAAAGAAGGTGCGGGCCATGTCCTCGATCTGGGGGTAGGCCCCCAGGGCCTGGAAGTGCTGCACGTAGTTCCAGAAGTCAGAGGTGGAGAAAGGCCAGTAGGGCATGGCCGGCAGCTCCGCGTAAGGGTCTGAAAGACACATGACACCTGTCTTGGGGACTGTCCCCACGGTCTTGCCTGGAGACACCGTCCTCGGAGGCTTCAAGGCAAGTGGATGGTTCCCAGCTGTGCCCACATGCTCACAGTGATTCAACCTTCCCAGAGTGGGGGCCTGAGCCCATCCCCTGTCATCAGTGGGGTGATGACCTAGGTCCTTGGGGATGCCTGGTCTGGGAGACAGAGGAAGAAGGGGAAGAGATGGAGCGGGGAGGCCTGTCCTGTTTGAGGAGGGAGTTGTATGGGGATGGTGTGGGGCACCGGCAGTCTCCTGCTGGGATTTCTGAAGGAAGCACAGACACCCCCGTCCACTACCCCCCACATAACCTGTCGTAAAGCTTGGGCAAGGGTGGCCCAGAAGATACTGGACTGAGTTAGGGCTCAGAGTTGGGAGGGCCTGGGGGCTGGAGCCCAGGTAGGAGGGTGAGAATGTCAGGGGTCATGGGGCCCTGGCTCCCCCTGCCCAGTGTGTTCCCTGGTGGCTGGAGGGCAGGGTCGCAGCTGGAAGGAGCTCAGAGACCCTCTGCTTGCACAGCTCCAAGCTGGCTCTCGAGGGCCATGTTTTCCATGCTCAGGCCTGAGCTGAGCCAGGGCGCCTGATGCGTCTGCTTGGGATAGGAAGCCACTGCCCTCCCCAGCAGTTTCTCCCCGCTGCACACCAGTTACTTATGCAAATGAAAGGAAAGAAATCGGAGAACGGTACCTCCTTCCTCCTGCACAGGCTTGGCCCCTGCAAAGGAAGAGAAGAGCTGTCACCCAGAAGGACCACCCAGGTGCCAGTTGGGCCCACCCCACACCAGCCGCAGGGCTCTGAGGTTTCCCAGCAGTCTGGAGATGTGTATGGAAGGGGAGAGAACAGGAGGGTTGTCGGGGGTCCTGGTGGCTGCCTCCCTCCAGAGCGGCCCCTCACCTGCGAGAGGCCCCAGCAGGAGGCAGAGGGCCAGCCCCAGCACCATGCAGGCCTGCATCTTCCCGGTGCTTCCTGATCTGCGACTCAGGCTCACCTGCAGCAGGACGAACCCAGGAAGGGCGAGACCACCCATCTGTCAGGGCCGGCTTCCTCTACCAGCCCCAGTGGGGGCAGCCCTGGGGAAAATGGCATGGATTTAAAAAAAAAAAAAATTCTTACGGTTTTCCTAGCAATTTCCATTTCAGTGGTTTCAAACCACTATTTGGAGGTGAAATCCCTGCCTCAATTGGCCTTAATTTGCACGACTTAAGAAATTGCTCACCTCCCCCCCCAACCCTGCCTGGCCTCTCCAGAGCTTACCTTGTCTCTGCTCAGCCGGCCGTGCTGCCTGGATGGGCTCTGCTGCCAGCTCAAGGGTCCTCTTTATAGAAGGGCTGTAGATGAGGAAGGACACGTCACCTGCCTCAACAGTCAAACTGAATATTTCATCCCCACCAGAGGATGTGGGCTCCTGTCGCCCTGCTGGCAGGCGGAATCAGAGTGTCAGCTTCTGGAAATCTGATCCGAAGATCAAACTGAGAGAAAAACATCTTGGCTAGGCCATTTCTGAAATTGTTAGGACTGAGTTCAGCATTGGTACTTGAAACAAACCCAGTTTCCTCTCCACAAGGAGAGATCCTACGTCCAATACTGGGGCTGGCTGAGATTTCCTCCCCCGTGAGATGGAGCTGAATAATTCCAGCGCTGCTTCCACTTAAACCAGCCGGCAGGAGGAGCCCCAGGTCAGCAGGACCTGCCTGCAGGACGTCCATTGAGCAGAGTCACAGCAGGAAGTGTGGGGTCAAGATGGACTTCTGTCTCCAGGCGGGAGCTTCCCTGTGATCCGAAGTGTCAGTCTGCAGGTGGGCAGGAGGCTGTC